TGTCTTCAGCGTTAAAATTTTCAATTTCTCAATTTTAAAATTTTTGTTTTTCTCGTTTGACGACTTTTAAATTCGTTAATTTTTGGTTTCTTTAATTTTTCAATTTTGTATTCTTTTGATTTTTCAATTTTTCGATTATCACTTTTAGAATGCAATTTTTTGACTTCACAATTTTTCGATTTTTTAATTTTTCTATAATTTTAGACTTGCAAGTTTTCGAGAGTTGAATTTAAAATTTTTCACTTTTTTTCTAAATAATTGAATTTTGAGTTTTTTCAAATTTTCGATTTTTCATTTCTCGATGTATAATTTTTCGATTTTTCAGTTTCCAGTTATTTCATTTTATACTTTGCTTTTTTTCAGTTCTTCAGTGTTAAAATTTTTCAGTTTGTCAGTTTTTGAGTTTTTGTTTTTCCATTCGAGAAGTAAATTTTTCAATTTTTGTTTCATTAGTTTTATAATTATGCAATTTTTTAAGTTTGCACTAAAACTTTAAAATTTTTCAACTTCGAATTTTTGAATTCCCGGCTTCTACATTTTTCGATTTTACGAATTCTCGATTTTTAAGTTTAATATTTTATAATGTCCAATTTTTCAATTTTTCAGTTCCAGTTTTTAGTTTTTCGATTTTTCATGTCTTCAGCGATAATTTTTTTAATTTCTCAATTTTTAATTTTTTGTTTTTCTCAGTTGACGACTTTTAAATTTGTCGATTTTTGGTTTCTTTAATTCTTTTGATTTTTCAATTTTTCGATTTTCATTTTTAGAATACAATTTTTTGACTTCATAATTTTTCGATTTTTTAATTTTTCTGTAATTTTAGATTTGCAACTTTTCGAGAGCTGAATTTAAAATTTTTCACTTTTTTCTAGATAATTTAATTTTTTGTTTTTTCAGTTTTTCGATTTTTCATTTCTCGATGTATAATTTGTCGATTTTTCAGTTTCCAGTAATTTAATTTTTTATTTTGATTTTTTTCAAGTTTTCAGTGTTAAAATTTTCAGTTTCCCAGTTTTTGAGCTTTTGTTTTCCCATTCGAGAAGTTTTAAATGAGTAAATTTTTCAATTTTTGTTCCTTCAGTTTTATAATTTTGAAAATTTTCAAGTTTGCACTAAATTGTTAAATTTTTCAACTTTGAATTTTTCAGTTCATGGCTTCTACAATTTTTCGATTTTACGAATTCTCGATTTTTCAGTTTTATATTTTATGATGTCAAATTTTTCAATTTTTCAGTCTCCGGCTTTTAATTTTTCGATTATCAATTTTTTATGACTTCAGCGTTAAATTTTTCAATTTCTCAATATTAAAATTTTTGTTTTTCTCATTTGACGACTTTTAAATTTGTCAATTTTTCAATTTTTGGTTTCTTTCATTTTTTCGATTTTGTGTTCTTTCGATTTTTCAATTTTTCGATTTTCAATAAAAAATGCAATTTTTTGACTTCACAATTTCGATTTTTTAATTTTTCTATAATTTTAATTTGCACCTTTTCGAGAGTTGAATTTAAAATGTTTCACTTTTTTTCGTCATACCTAATTTTGAGTTTATTCAATTTTTCGATGTTTCATTTCTCGATGGTATAATTTTTAGATTTTTCAGTTTCCAGTTATTTCATTGCTTTTTTCACGTCTTTAGTGATAAAATTTACAGTTTCTAAATTTTTGACTTTTTGTTTTTTCCATTCGAGAAGTTCTAAATGAGTAAATTTTTCAATTTTTATTCCTTCAGTTTTATAATTTTGCAATTTTTCAAGTTTCCATTAAAACTGTTAAATTTTTCAACTTTGAATTTTTCAGTTCATGGCTTCTACAATTTTTCGATTTTACGAATTCTCGATTTTTCAGTTTTATATTTTATGATGTCAAATTTTTCAATTTTTCAGTCTCCGGCTTTTAATTTTCCGATTATCAATTTTTTATGACTTCAGCGTTAAATTTTTCAATTTCTCAATATTAAAATTTTCGTTTTTCTCATTTGACGACTTTTAAATTTGTCAATTTTTCAATTTTTATTTTTAATTTTTTCGATTTTGTATTCTTTCGATTTTTCAATTTTTCGATTTTCAATAAAAGAATGCAATTTTTTGACTTCACAACTCCGATTTTTTAATTTTTCTATAATTTTAATTTGCACCTTTTCGAGAGTTGAATTTAAAATGTTTCACTTTTTTTCGTGATACCTAATTTTGAATTTATTCAATTTTACGATGTTTCATTTCTCGATGGTATAATTTTTAGATTTTTCAGTTTCCAGTTATTTCATTGCTGCTTTCACGTCTTTAGTGATAAAATTTACAGTTTCTAAATTTTTGACTTTTTGTTTTTTCCATTCGAGAAGTTCTAAATGAGTAAAATTTTCAATTTTTGTTTCTTCATTTTATAATTTTGCAATTTATCAAGTTTGCACTAAAACTGTTGAGTTTTTCAACTTTGAATTTTTCAATTCATGGGTTCTGCAATTTTTCGATTTAACGAATTCTGGATTTTTCAGTTTTATATTTTATGACGTCCAATTTTTCAATTTTTCAGTTCCAGTTTTCAATTTTTCGATTTTCAATAAAAGAATGCAACTTTTTGACTTCACAATTTCGATTTTTTAATTTTTCTGCAATTTTAGAGTTGCAACTTTTCCAGAGTTGAATTTAAAATTGTTCACTTTTTTCTAAATAATAAATTTTTGATTTTTCAATTTTCCATTTGTCATTTCTCGATGTATAATTTTTCGATTTTTCAGTTTCCAGTTATTTGATATTTTATTTTGCAATTTTTCAAGTCTTCAGTATTAAAATTTTCAGTTACTCAATTTTTGAGTTTTGTTTTTCCCATTCGAAAACTCTTATTTAAATCAGTATATTTTTCACTTTTTGCTTTCTCCAATTTTACAATTTTGCAATTTTTCAATTTTAAAAGGCAATTTTTAACTTCCCAATTTAAGTTTAATGTAAAATTTTTGAGTTTTCGATTTTTAAACTTTTGAATATTTCAATTTTTCATTTCTTCTGTATTTCGATTTGTAATTTTTGGAATTTACAAGTTTTTAGTTACTCAGTTTTTCATTTCTTCAATTTTTCGATTTTCTGTTTTTTATTTCCCAAATTCTGAATATTTCAACTTTTCCCGATATTTTCACATTCTTAGAAAAACACCAGTGGCTCCCAAGATTATTTCACATTAAAAAAAGACACAAAGAGTCCCAAAGATTTTTTCAAATACTTATTTACCATTTTACACATGTTTTTTTTTTAATTCTTGTTCTGAAAAGAAGGCTACGTGTATTAAGTAAAAAAACGCAACATATAAGCCCCGCCCACCCTCCCTATCTCAATTGTGGTCTTTTTTTTCCATATGAAATTTCCATGTGAAACATGTTCTTAAGTAATCATGTTGTTCATAGAAAACTGTGTATTAAATAAAAAAGAAAGCCAATGATTAAGTCCGATTTATACCCGCCCCGATCTCAGTTGTGATGAATTTTTCATTCGTTGTCAGATCCAGAGGTGGAGCTTAATTCAATCTACATTTCTTTATTTCATGTTTCAAGCTGGAGGGAGGAGCTTAACTACAAAATCCTTATTTTCCTACAAAAAATGACCACGTGAAACATGTTGTTACGTAATCGTGTTGAAATAAAACTATGTGTAAGTATTAAATAAAAAAGAAAGTAAAAAATTAAATCCGAAGGGCGGAGCGTAATTGCTAAATCTGTGTAATCTATTAATAATGAAAATAAGCTTAAGAAGTATTTAAACGCTTTTTAAGTTCCCGCAAAGGAAAATTTTTGTGATAGGAAGAACATAAGCTGTTTTGGGTAGAAATCAATATTCGGCCCTTCTCTCTTTCTCTTCCTCTCTATGTTAAAATAGTTAGTTAATATTAACTAAGTGAGTTATGTAATTTACCTTCATCAATTTTGAATACATTTAGACAATTTAAAAGAACAGGAAATCTCCAACTTGTAATTCAAACAAAATTCTGTCCTCCACTATTTGCTAATAAACTAAACTCAATACGTTCTTACAGTGTTCCAACTCCAGGTGAATTTTCTAGCTGAATTAAAAGTCAGACTCCAAGAAAAGTTTGTAAGTTTCTTTTAGTTCACATAATATTTCGTAGCTTGAAAAATTGGTTTTTATTTATTAGAATTGGTCGCTGTCTTTCACCGTGCGCTCGAATTCAACTTTAATGAAATAAACGGGATTTTCTAAATAGCACAACTTCCAATCTAAATGAAATAAATATATTTCATCATTGTCATGGAAATTAAAGTGCGTCCTCAGATCGTGTTTACTAGCTTTTCCAACAATGCAACCAGTAATAAATCAAAGAAATGGATTGTGTCCGTCCAGAACGTGGACTGAAAGATCAATTGCCGATGAAATTAAAAACACGTCCAAAAAAAAAAAAAATAAATCGCAGTTTCGATTTTCAATTAACCTTAAAAATACCAAGATTTCGTTAATGTTTGTAGTCGTTTTGATCATTCATAATTGCGAAACGTCATCATAAATCGCACTAATAATTAAAAACCGTGCCGCTAATGGTACTCCGTTCCATATTGATCATGAGTAATGGGTTTTCGATAATTACAGACGCTTTAAGGCAATTAGAGCGCGCAAATTAATTATTTTTAACACGTGGAGACGTCAATTAGCACCTTGATGGAACCCTCAATCGGTTAATTCGCCTCAGCGCATTTTACTTCCAGGAGTCAATCCTGATTTTAACATAACTCGTCGCCAATAATTTAATCCAAATAACACCTCCGAACACATTCCCTATTTGCGGTCACAACGTCACCAGTGACGCACCCACGGACAGCTTAACTCCGCTTTAATTCCTCGTATTGTCAACCAACTTGGCCCTCGTCGAAAACTTCCGCCATAAATTCCACAACGCGTCCTTTTTTTTCCAGCCACATTCGCAATAACCGCCCCCGCACACGCCGCCGCCGGAATACATGTAACGGTAAACAAGCACCTGCATATTTAGGTCAAACTAACCTGACATTTCACGTATTTGGTTTCCAAACTCCTAACCGCGGTCTCGAAGTAGTCCTTTCCGTATTCGATCCTCTGCTCTTGACACAGCTGCGCCCACATGTCCCTCGCCTGCTCCAGGATAACCTGATCGGACAGCCACGAGTTGCCGGCGGTGAATTCCCCAGGTGCCACGACGACGACGTCCACGCAGCGGCTTCTCAGCTCCTTGCGCAGGCACTCGGCTTGGGCCTCGATGGCGGCGAGGAGGCCGCAGTGGATGCCGCGGACGGGGGAGGCCACTTTGCAGAGGCCGGAGGTCATCATGATGACGCGGCCGCGGGCTCGGCGGATGAGGGGGAGCATGACTTGGGTCACTCGGGTGGGGCCGAGGAGGTTGATTTCGGTGGCTTTTTTAATGACCTGGGGGAGAAGACATGAATGGTTAAAGTTGGAACGGGGGACGAATATGTCACATTAAAATTGCTAAGTTGGAGAGTTTGTGAAGAAAATGTCTTTAATTAAGCTTGTCATCTCTAACATTTCCTAAATTTTACAACTAGGAGGCGCTTAACTGGGATCGAAGTCTAATAGCGGGGCAAGTTTGGCGAACGGCAACTCCTGTGAAGCTAAACTTGGGGGCTTTACTTCGGGAGCTGTCGTTTAATGAACGACCTTCAAATAGAGCTTAAGACGTTTTTCTTTAACGAGAAAATAGGAAAAGTAAAATTCGCAGAATCAAATTTTATAATTTTTCAAAAAAGCTTGATGTACTTATATATTTTATTGCACTTCAGGGGCGAGAGAAGTTCTGTGGAAATAACCTTCCGCCAATTTTTATCCTAGGCAGCGATTTTTTTAAGAAAATCAAAATTACAATTTTTCGAGCTCTTGATTTTTCGAATTTTGATTTCTAAATTTTTCGATATTTCAGTTTTGGGATTTTTCAATTTTTCAAGTTCTCGACTTTCTGTTTTTCAATTTTTCAATTTTTGGCATCTCTAAATTTGCAATAATTCCATTTTTCAATTTATCTTTGAGTTTCCTATTTCTCGATTTCTCCACTTTTCGTTGTTTCGATTTTTCAGTTTTTCAGTTCTCCAATGTTTCGATTTCTCCACTTTTCAATTTTTCGATAATTCAGTTTTTTCCTTTTGCAATTTTTGATTTTTTGGTGTGCCAATTTCTCAATTTTGAATTTTTCGCTATTTTTATTTTTCAGTTTTTAAAATAATAGATTTCTCGATTTTTCGATTTTTCAGTTCTTCGCAAATTTTCGAATTTTTAAATTTTTGGTTTTTCAGTTTTTTGATTTTTCAGTCCTTGCGATTTTTAAATTTTGGATTTTCGATTTCCCAGTTGCTCGATTAATCGATTTTTTTATTTTCGCAGTGCTCTATTTCCCAACTCTACGATGTTTCAATTATTCAAATTTTTGATTTTTCAGTTTTTTAATTTTTCGATTTTTCGATTTCTTGATTTTTCAGTTTTTCGATTTCTCAAGATTTCAGTGTTTCAATTTTGGGATTTTAAAATTTTTCGATTTTTCGATTTTTTACTTTCTTCAATTTTTCATCAACAAAAAAATCATGTTTCGATTTTGCGACTTTTCGGTTTTTCAATTTTTGATTTGTAACATTTTTGATTTTTCATTTTTTCAATTTTTCGGATTATTAATTTTTTCATTTTTCAGTTTTTCGATTTCAAAATTTTTCAATTTTTTGACTCTTCAGTGTTTCGATTTTTTAATTTTTCGGCATTTCGATTTCCCAATTTTTCGACTTCTCGAGTTTTCGACTGCTCGATTTCTGGATTTTTTACTTTTTCGGTTTTTCAATTTTTCGATATTTTAATTTTTTAATTTTTAAAATAATAAATTTCCGATTTTTCGATTTTTCAGTTCTCCGCTACTGCAAATTTTCTTCTATTTTTAAATTTTTCTATATTTAAATTTTGGAATTTTTCAAAATGTCGATTCATACCTTTCTTGATTTTTCGATTTTTTACTTTTTCGATTTTTCATATTTTTAAATTTCAGTTTTTCAATTTTTCATCAACATTTCGACTTTTCGGTTTTTCAATTTTTGATTTTTAAAATCTTTGATTATTCGTTTTTTATTTTTTTCATTTTTCCGTTTTTCGATTTGTCGTCTTTTTCAACATTTCAATTTTGGGATCTTCATTTTCTGGATTTTATAATTTTTGGTTATTTCCTGATGTTTCGATTCCCCGATCTTTCGATTTTTCAACTTTTTCGATTCCAATTTTTCGGTTGATTCAATTTTTTGGTTTTTAAATTTTTTTATTTTTTAAGGTTTTCGATTTTTTAATTTTTCGATTTAGTTATCGATTTTTTTTAATTTTAAATTTTTCATTTTTTAACTTTCGATTTTCCGATTTTCGCCTATTTCGGTTTCCTAATTTTTCCATTTTTCGACTTCTCGAGTTTCCGATTGCTCGTTTTTTTATTTTGGTGTTTTGATTTTTCAATTTCTCGGTTTTTCGATATTTTGATTTTTAAGATTTTTGGTTTTTCATTTTTTCAATTTATCGGATTATTAATTTTTTCATTTTTCAGTTTTTCGATTTAAAAATTTTTCAATTTTTTGACTCTTCAGTGTTTCGATTTTTTAATTTTTCGGCATATCGATTTTCCAATTTTTCGACTTTTCAAATTTTTCCATTTCTAACCTTCGGTTTTGACCTAAATATTTCGATTTCCCAATTTTTCGGCTTCTCGAGTTTTCGACTGCTCGATTTCTGGATTTTTTACTTTTTCGGTTTTTGAATTTTTCGATATTTTAATTTTTTTATTTTTAAAATAATAAATTTCCGATTTTTCGATTTTTCAGTTCTCCGCTACTGCAAATTTTCGATTCTTCAATTTTTCTTCTATTTTTAAATTTTTCTATATTTAAATTTTGGATTTTTTCCAAATTTCGATTCATAAGTTTTTCGATTTTTCGATTTTTTACTTTTACGATTTTTCAGATTTTTAAATTTTAGTTTTTCAATTTTTTTTACAACACTTCGACTTTTCGGTTTTTCAATTTTTTGATTTTTAAAATTTTTCATTATTCGTTTTTTATTTTTTTCATTTTTGTGTTTTCCGATTTGTCGTCTTTTTCAATATTTCAATTTTGGGATCTTTTCATTTCCTGGATTTTATCATTTTTGGATATTTTCTGATGTTTCGATTCCTCGATCTTTCCATTTTTCAACTTTTCCGATTCCAATTTTTCGGATGTTTCAATTTTTTGGTTTTTAAATTTTTAGATTTTTTCAGGTTTTCGATTTTTTAATTTTTCGATTTAGTTATCGATTTTTTTTAACTTTAAATTTTTCATTTTTTAACTTTCGATTTTCCGATTATGGCCTATTTCGGTTTCCCAATTTTTCGATTTTTCGACTTCTCGAGTTTCCGATTGCTCGATTTTTTTATTTTGGTGTTTTGATTTTTCAATTTCTCGGTTTTCGATATTTTGATTTTTAAGATTTTTGATTTTTCTTTTTTTCAATTTTTCGGATTATTAATTTTTTCATTTTTCAGTTTTTCGATTTAAAAATTTTTCAATTTTTCGACTCTTCAGTGTTTCGATTTTTTAATTTTTCGGCATCTCGATTTTCCAATTTTTCGACTTTTCAAATTTTTCCATTTCTAACCTTCGGTTTTAACCTAAATATTTCGATTTCCCAATTTTTCGACTTCTCGAGTTTTCGACTGCTCGATTTCTGGATTTTTTACTTTTTCGGTTTTTCAATTTTTCGATATTTTAATTTTTTAATTATTAAAATAATAGATTTCCGATTTTTCGATTTTTCAGTTCTTCGCTACCGCAAATTTTCGATTCTTCAATTTTTCTTCTATTTTAAAATTTTTCTATATTTAAATTTTGGAATTTTTCAAAATTTCGATTCATAAGTTTTTCGATTTTTCGATTTTTTACTTTTACGATTTTTCAGATTTTTAAATTTTAGTTTTTCAATTTTTCATCAACATTTCGACTTTTTGGTTTTTCAATTTTTTGATTTTTAAAATCTTTCATTATTCGTTTTTTATTTTTTTCATTTTTCTGTTTTCAGATTTGTCGTCTTTTTCAACATTTCAATTTTGTGATCTTTTCATTTCCTGGATTTTATGATTTTTGGATATTTTCTGATGTTTCGATTCCCCGATCTTTCGATTTTTTAATTTTTCCGATTCCAATTTTTCGGTTGTTTCAATTTTTTGGTTTTTAAATTTTTTTTTTTCAGGTTTTCGATTTTTTAATTTTTCGATTAAGTTATCGATTTTTTTTAATTTTTAACTTTTTATTTTTTAACTTTCGATTTTCCGGTTTTAGCCTATTTCGGTTTCCCAATTTTTCGATTTTTCAACTTCTCGAGTTTCCGATTGCTGGATTTTTTTATTTTGGTGTTTCGATTTTTCAATTTCTCGGTTTTTCGATATTTCGATTTTTCAATTTTTCGATTCCTTGTCATCTCGATATTTAGATTTCCCGATTTTCTAGTTTTTGATTTTTCTTTTTTTTCTGCATTTCAAATTTGGGATCTTTTTATTTTCTGGATTTTATAATTTTTGGATATTTTTTGATGTTTCGATTTTTCGACTTTTCGGATTTCAATTTTTCGGATTTTCAGTTTTTCGATTTTTTAATTTTTTCAGTTCGATGTCTTTTAATTCAACTTTTTCGTTTTTTAACTTTTCAATTTTTCGAGTTTTCGACTGCCAATTTTTTGATTTTTTGATGCTTCGAATTTTCAATTTCTCGATTTTGAAAAATCAGTCAATATTTGCGATTTTTAAATTTTTCTGTTTCTCGATTAATCGATTTTTTGATTTTTCCGTTTCTCGATTTTTCAACTCTACGATGTTTCGGCTTTTCAGGTTTTTGATTTTTTAGTGTTTCGATTTCACGAATTTTCAGTTTTTCGATTTCTCAAAATTTTAATGTTTCAGTTTTGGGATTTTTAAAATTTTCGATTGGTCAATGTTTTTTTATTTTAAAATTTTTCGATATTTAAATTTTGGAATTTTTCAATTCTTTGATTCTTAAATTTTTCGCTTTTTCAATTTTTCTTATCGATTTTTTAATTTCAAATTTGTCAATTTTAACCTTCGATTTTGGTCTAATTCGATTTCATAATTTTTTGCTTTTCTGACGTCTCGAATTTTCGATTTTCCAACTTTTCGATTAGTCAATTTTTCAATTTTTCGATTCCTTGACATTTCGGTTATTCGGTTTCTAAACTTTCCCGATTTTTCGATGTTAAGATTTCTCTATTTTCAGTTTTCGATTTGTTGTTTTTTCAACATTTTAATTTTTCGATTTTTCGACTTTTTCCTATTTCAATTTTTCGGTTTTTCAGTTTCTCGACTTTTTAATTTTTCGATTTACTTATCGATTTTTTTTTTAATTTCA